TCTAATCCCTGAGCTACAGGGGCTGTGGGGTGCGAGGGGAGGGTCTAACCCTGAGCTACAGGGGCTGTGGGGTGCGAGGGAGGGGGTCTAACCCCTGAGCTACAGGGGCTGTGGGGTGCGAGGGGAGGGGTCTAACCCCTGAGCTAAGGGGAGGGGTCTAACCCCTGAGCTACAGGGGCTGTGGGGTGCGAAGGAGGGGTCTAACCCCTGAGCTACAGGGGCTGTGGGGTGCGAGGGGAGGGGTCTAACCCCTGAGCTACAGGGGCTGTGGGGTGCGAGGGGAGGGGTCTAACCCCTGAGCTACAGGGGCTGTGGGGTGCGAGGGAGGGGTCTAACCCCTGAGCTACAGGGGCTGTGGGGTGCGAGGGGAGGGGTCTAACCCCTGAGCTACAGGGACTCCCCCTGCTCTCTCTCCCCCCATAGCCCTGATCAACTCCACTCCCCCGTTCACTCTCTCTCTCCCCATAGCCCTGATCAACCCCACTCCCCCCCTCTCTCTCTCTCTCTCCCCCCCCCGCAGCCCTGCAAACATGTCCTTCCCCTAAATCTCTACCCAACAGCAACGCAGGACATTTACACGGTGACCACCGTGGTTGGTTGGTTGGTTGGCTAGTTGGCTAGTTAGTTAGTCAGTCAGTTAGTTAGTCAGTTAGTTAGTGCTAACCCCCCCCCACCCCAGTGACTGGTCAGCAATGCCCCGGAGGTTTGCGGTGAATCAGAGGAGGAAGTAACCGAGAATAACCAGAGTGTGAGCCACTCAAACGGGGAAGCAAGAGATCAGGCGCGGAGGGTAAACACAGAATGTTCCCCATCTGTGGTTATTCCAGTCTAAATACTGATTGAAACCCCCCCCCTCCCCCCTCCCCACCCCCCGTCTCTGCCTCCGAAACCTTTGGAGGCGCTTCCCAGGAGGTGTAGTGACTGTGCGTTTGTGTGTCTCTCAGTGCGTGTGTGTGTGTGTGTGTGCGTGTGTGTGGTTGAGGGGTGAGGCGAGTGTCGCAACGATTCCTGTAAAGGGCGTCGTGAGCCTCGTTAGTTCCGCTTGGTCTCTGCAGAGACGGAGAGAGAGAGAGAGACAGAGGGAGAGACGGACAGGCGGACAGACGGACAGGCGGAGAGCCTTGAGTCGTCGATTCCCAGCTCTGAGAACTCGATCAACATCCATCTCCAAGCCACAGCTCAGGTGTTGTCTCTGGGGGTGTGTGTCACAGCTCACACCGTGTATGTCAGGCTGTCTCTCACTGTGTCTCTGTGTGTGTGTGTGTGTGTGTGTATGCGTGTCAGGCTGGCTCTCACTGTGTGTGTGTGTCAGGCTGTCTCTGTGTGTGTGCGCATGTCCGGCTGTCTCTCAGTGTGTGTGTGTGTGTGTGTGTGAGGCTGTCTCTCACTGTGTGTGTGTGTGTGTGTGTGTGTGTGCGCTCATGTCCGGCTGTCTCTCAGTGTGTGTGTGTCCGGCTGTCTCTCAGTGTGTGTGTTTGTGTGTGTGTGAGGCTGTCTCTCACTGTGTGTGTGTGTGTGTGTGTCAGGCCGTCTCTCAGTGTGTGTGTGTGTGTGTGTCAGGCCGTCTCTCAGTGTGTGTGTGTGTGTGCTCATGTCCGGCTGTCTCTCAGTGTGTGTGTGTCCGGCTGTCTCTCAGTGTGTGTGTGCGTGCACGCGTGTCCGGCTGTCTCTCAGTGTGTGTGTGTGTCAGGCTGCCACTTTGTGTGTGTGTGTGTGTGCACGTGCGCGCGCGTGTCAGGCTGTCTCTCAGTGTGTGTGTGTCAGGCTGTCTCAGTGTGTTTGTGTGTGTGTCAGGCTGTCTCAGTGTGTGTGTGTGTGTGTGTCAGGCTGTCTCAGTGTGTGTGTGTGTGTGTCAGGCTGTCTCTCAGTGTGAGTGTCACAGCTGATCTCTTCTGCTTCCCCTAGACACAGACAGAAGGCGCCCCCACCCCCAGGACCTGCTCCTCTCCAGCCCCTCCTCGTCCTCAGGATGAAGCCACTGTTCCTGTTTCTCCTCCTCAGTGAGTATCTCTATCCTGACCAGTGACATCCTGTGTAGGGCAGGGTAGGGGGGGGAGGTCAGGGTGGGGTAGGGCTGGGTAGGGGAGGGCAGGATTGGGTAGGGCAGGTCAGGGGAGGGCAGGATTGGGTAGGGCAGGGCTGGGTGGGAGGGCAGGGTAGGGCTGGGTAGTGTAGGGGAGGGCAGGTCAGGGGAGGGCTGGGTAGTGTAGGGGAGGGCAGGGTAGTGTAGGGGAGGGGAGGGCAGGATTGGGTAGGGGAGGACAGGTCAGGGGAGGGCAGGATTGGGTAGGTCAGGGGAGGGCAGGGTGGGGGAGGGCAGGATTGGGGAGGGCAGGTCAGGGGAGGGCTGGGTAGTGTAGGTGAGGGCAGGACAATGTGGCTGTGAATTCCTGTGTTAATTATTCTCGCTCTGATCTTGTTTTGCCAGCGACGTTACTGGAGACAAGAACAGTGGGAACTGCAGGTCAGTGACATAATGTCTCACACACTCACACACACACACAGACACTCTCACAAACACACAAACGCACACACATACATACACACAGACACTCTCACACACACACACTCACACACATTGACATCCACATATAGGCACAGACGCACTCACAGACACTCACATACACTCGCACACACTCACCTACACACTCACACACACACGCACATATACATACACACAGACACTCTCACACACACTCCCACACATTGACACATACATATAGGCACAGACGCACTCACACACTCACAGACACTCACCTGTACATATACACACACACACACACACTCACACACATTCATTCATCCACACTCTCATACAAGCTCACACACAGCCACACACACACATACTCACACACACACACACACACATGTGAACACACACATTCACACACACACATACTTACAGACACCCACACACACTCACACACACACGTAAACACACACATTTACACACACTCACACGCATACATACTCACACACATATCCGCACACACTCCCGGACACTCAAACACACTCACACACACACACTCACAAACACAGACAAAGACACCCACAAACACAGACCCACTCGCACACTCACAGATACCACATACACTCAGGGTCACACACACACACACTCACCTACACTCACACACACACTCACGCACGGACACACACACACACACACACACACACATAGGGTGAGAGGAAGGGATGGGTGTGAGGTGTGAGACTGGATCAGACTGTGGTCGTTTGTGAGACTATTTCATTGTGTTTCAGCTTCAGATCCGCTCCAGAAACCCACCATTTCCCTGAAGCCAAATTCCCGTGAGTTCGTGAGAGGGGAAAGTGTTGAGATCTCGTGTTCTGCTGATGGTTCTGGCGACAGGTTCTCTTTATACAGAGGCGACGGGTCTATCGATTCAAAACGTCCTCCCGCGGGCAGCGACACAGCGACATTTACTGTGTCAAACATCACAGCGGGAAAATACAGCTGTCAATATAGTAGGAAAAGACCAGGATACGGGTATTCATTATCACCACCGAGCGATGGTGTGGAAATCATTGTAAAGGGTAAGAGCGACAGCCTGGAATCTCTCACACAATAACCTGTTTGTCTTTAGATGATTCACCAACAGACAAAGAGCTGATACAGTCCCTGTAGCTCAGGGGTTAGACCCCTCCCCTCGCACCCCACAGTCCCTGTAGCTCAGGGGTTAGACCCCTCGCCTCACAAGCCACAGTCCCTCTAGCTCAGGGGTTAGACCCCTTGCCTCGCACCCCACAGCCCCTGTAGCTCAGGGGTTAGATTCCTCGTCTCGCAAGGCACAGTCCCCTGTAGCTCAGGGGTTAGACCCCTCCCCTCGCACCCCACAACCCCTGTAGCTCAGGGGTTAGACCCCTCGCCCTCGCACTCCCACAACCCCTGTAGCTCAGGGGTTAGACCCTTCGCCTCGCACTCCACAGCCCCTGTAGCTCAGGGGTTAGACCCTTCGCCTCGCAAGCCACAGTACAAAACACAAGAGTCACTACACTTTACAGTACATACTGTGAAGCGCTTTGAGGCATTATTATCTCAAGGCACATACTGTCTCAGAGTCTTGGGACTCCCTCCTGATGTGAAATATAATGTATATTAATATAATTTGTTGTTATTGTCCCACAGGCTGAGACCGGGTGGAATTTGGGGCTGATATTCGCTGTCAGAGTGTTGGAGAGATTATTTCGCTGTGTTTTATTCCCAGATTCATTCCGGAAACCCACCATTTCCCTGAAGCCGGATTCCCGGGTGTTTGTGAGAGAGGAAAGCCCTGAGATCTCATGTTCTGGGAATTATCGGGGCAGCAAATTCTCTTTATACAGAGACGGAGAGTTTATCACATCACAAACAGCTCCGGGCACGTCAACACGGCAACATTTACCCCCTCGGAGATCACAACAGGAAATTACTGGTGTCAATATAATATAACCATTGAGGGACGAGGGGTCACATCACCAGAGAGCGAGCGAGTGGGAGTCAGTGTCTGGGGTAAGAGTGAGAGCCTGGACTCTCTCACTGTAAAATCTCACACAACAACAACAACTTGCATTTACACAGCTCCCCTCACATGGGGTAGTGCTCAGAGAGCTTGCGCGTGACTGACACCAAGCCGGGGCGAGAGGGAGGGGGGGGTGGGATTGAGGGAGAGAGTGAAAGAGAGGAAGGGGGCAAGATGGAGAGAGTGAGGGAGAGAGTGAGTGAGGGGACAAGGTGGAGCGGTTATGGGAGAGAGAGAGAGAGAGAGAGGGGGGAAAGTGGGGGGCAACGCAGAGGGATTGAGGGAGAGAGAGAGTGTGAGAGGACAAGGTAAAGGGATTGAGGGGGAGAGAGAGAGAGAGAGAGAGAGGGGGAGGAAGAGAGTGATGAGGCACACTCCACCCTCTGTCCTCAAGTCTCCTCGGTTCTGGGAAAGATGACGTCAAACTTTCCCCCGAACCGAACCGTGTCACAGAGCGAGTGTTGGAGAGATTATTTCGCTGTGTTTTATTCCCAGATTCACTCCGGAAACCCACCATTTCCCTGAAGCCGGATTCCCGGGTCTTCGTGAGAGAGGAAAGGCCTGAGATCTCGTGCTCTGGGAATTATCCCGGCAGCGAATTCTCTTTATACAGAGACGGAGAGTTTATCAGATTGCAAACAGCTCCGGGGAATAGCAACACGACAACATTTACCCCCTCGGAGATCGGGGCAGGAAATTACTGGTGTCGATATAACATAACCATAGAGGGACGAGAGTTTGTATCACCAGAGAGTGAGCGAGTGGGAGTCAGTGTGAAGGGTAAGACTCACTGTAAAATCTCACACAATAACCTGTTTGTTACCTGTGACCGGCTAACCCCCATATCAACCTGTCCGCTCTCTACCCCCACCCTCCCTCCCTCCCTCGCCCCCTCCTCCCCTCCCTCCTTCCTTCCCTCCCTCGCCTCCTTCAAGCCCCGTCTCAACACCTCCTCTTCGACCAACCCCGCCTTCGGTCACCCTCATACCTCCCCCACACACTCTCCCAGCACCCCCCATACCCTCCACCTATCCTTGCTCCACCCACCCTCCCCGCCCTTCCCTCCCCCTCCACCCCCTCCTGATCACGACCCCCAACTCGGGTGCAAACCCCTAGCTGTCCAGGCCAGCGCCTTGAGACATCCTCCGGACGTGAAATATAACGTATATCAAGACAACTTGTTGTTGCTGTCTCACAGGCTGAGACCGGGTGGAATTTGGGGCTGATATTCGCTGTCAAGAGTGTTGGTGAGATGATTTCGCTGTGTTTCCTTCCCAGATTCACTCCGGAAACCCACCATTTCCCTGAAGCCGGATTCCCGGGTGTTTGTGAGAGAGGAAAGCCCTGAGATCTCGTGTTCTGGGAATTATCGGGGCAGCAAATTCTCTTTATACAGAGACGGAGAGTTTATCACATCACAAACAGCTCCGGGGCACGTCAACACGGCAACATTTACCCCCTCGGAGATCACAACAGGAAATTACTGGTGTCAATATAATATAACCATTGAGGGACGAGAGGTCACTTCACCAGAGAGCGAGCGAGTGGGAATCAATGTGTGGGGTAAGAACGAGAGCCTGGACTCTCTCACTGTAAAATCTCACACAACAACAACAACTTGCATTTACACAGCTCCCCTCACATGGGGTAGTGCTCAGAGAGCTTGCGCGTGACTGACACCAAGCCGGGGGCGAGAGGGAGGGGGGGGTGGGATTGAGGGAGAGAGTGAAAGAGAGGAAGGGGGCAAGATGGAGAGAGTGAGGGAGAGAGTGAGTGAGGGGACAAGGTTATGGGAGAGCGGTTATGGGAGAGAGAGAGAGAGAGGGGGGGAAAGTGGGGGGCAACGCAGAGGGATTGAGGGAGAGAGAGAGTGTGAGAGGACAAGGTAAAGGGATTGAGGGGGAGAGAGAGAGAGAGAGAGAGAGGGGGAGGAAGAGAGTGATGAGGCACACTCCACCCTCTGCCCTCAAGTCTCCTCGGTTCTGGGAAAGATGACGTCAAACTTTCCCCCGAACCGAACCGCGTCACAGAGCGAGTGTTGGAGAGATTATTTCGCTGTGTTTTATTCCCAGATTCACTCCGGAAACCCACCATTTCCCTGAAGCCGGATTCCCGGGTCTTCGTGAGAGAGGAAAGGCCTGAGATCTCGTGTTCTGGGAATTATCCCGGCAGCAAATTCTCTTTATACAGAGACGGAGAGCGTATCGGATCGCAAACAGCTCCGGGGAATAGCAACACAACGACATTTACCCCCTCGGAGATCGGGGCAGGAAATTACTGGTGTCGATATAACATAACCATTGAGGGACGAGTGTTTGTATCACCAGAGAGCGAGCGAGTGGGAATCATTGTGTGGGGTAAGAGCGAGAGCCTGGACTCTCTCACTGTAAAATCTCACACAACAACAACAACAACAACTTGCATTTACACAGCTTCCCCCCCCCCCCCCCCCCACGTGGGGTAGGCCTCGGAGAGCTTGAGAGTTATGACCCCAAGCCCGGGGCGAGAGAGAAGGGTGGAGGGGGGAAGGGATTGAGGGAGGGAGTGAGAGAGAAGGAGGGGAGCGGGCAAGGTGGAGAGATTGGGGGAAAGAGAGTGAGGGGGCAAAGTGGAGAGGTTATGGGAAAGAGAGGGGGGCAAGGCGGAGGGATGTGTGGGGTAAGAGCGAGAGCCTGGACTCTCACTGTAAAATCTCACACAATAACCTGTTGGCTTTCTTTCGAGCTGTTCCTGATTGAATTGACCGAAGGCATGGTTGGTTGAAGGGGGTCTTGAGATGGGGCTTGAAAGAGGTGAGGGAGGGTGGGAGGGAGGGAGTGAGGGAGGGAGGCAAGTGAGGGAGGCAAGGTGAGGGAGGAAGGGAAGGGGGAATGAGGGAGGGAGGGAGGGAGGGGCTAAGGGAGGGAAGGGGTGAGAGGGAGTGGGGGGGAGAGGGAGGGAGGGAAGGGGTGAGAGAGGATACGAAGGGGTGAGAGAGGGAGGGAGGGGGTGAAATATTTAGTATTCTTCATTGAAGTGAAGCCTCCAGTGTCTCTAACATGGAAACCGCTCTCAGTTTTCTGCGGTTTAAGATGTTTCGGGGCAGGTTCGAGCTCGTAGCGAGGAGAGAAAAGACGCTTTAATCCAGAAAATTATTCCAATTGTGTTTCATTCCCAGATCCATCCCAGAAAGCCACCATTTCCCTGAGTTTCGGGGAGCGCGGGAGAGAGGAAAGGCTTGAGCAATTTGGGCCTATGTTTCTCTGGAATATAGAAGAATTAGAGGGGATCTTGTAGAAACTTATAAGATCATCGAAGGGCAATGATAGAGTAGATAGTGGGAGATCGTTTCCCCCGGTTGGAGTAACTAAAACCAGGGGTCACAACCTTAAAATCAGAGGCCAACCCTTTCGCACTGAGTTGAGGAAGAACTTCTTCGCTCAAAGGGCGGTGAATGTATGGAACTCACTACCCCAAAGGGCTGTTGGCGCTCAGTCCTTGAACGTATTCAAGACTGAGAGCGATAGATTTCTTATTGCAAAAGGGATTAAGGGATATGGGGATAAGACGGTGGGGGGGGAGGTCAGGTTATTAGCTGGAGTTAGATTAGAAGATCAGCCATGATTGAATGGCGGGGCAGAGGCTCGAAGGGCTGAATGGCCTCCTCCTGCTCCTACATGTTATGTTATGTAACCACGTCTTCCATTCCAACCACAACCGTGTGTCCTCGGGTCAACGGTTTCCAGAGAACCGTAGACACATCCAGCCCAAATGGGGTCTGTGCCGCTGTGTTCAAGAGCAATCCTTCCAGCCGCCCCGCAAGAGGAAGCCCCGGGAGTATTGAGCAATCCATTGGCACGTGGGAACTATCTGAGGCCTTGGCGATGGGTTTTCCAGTCGCACAACCAAAAGCTCCGCCACTGGAGTGACCGTTGATTGACCAGTGTCGTGTCTGTGTCTGTGTCTGTGTCTGTGTCCGTCTCGCAGGTTGCTCGGCTGCTCAGAACACGATGAGAACTATAAACGTGCTCCACATCTGCCTGACGATCGTCATGTCGCTGGTAATTATGGTCCTGCTCTTCGTTGAATGCCGACCAACGAGAAGAGACGCCAATCGAGACAGGGTTGTTGAAGCAACCTCTTGACTCTCCTCAAAACTCTCAGGGCTCCAAACCCGACTCCACATCATCCTCCGGCTCGGTCCACCTGAACCCTTCTCTCGGTGTCGCTTCCCGCCTTCGCTTTGGCCTCGAACACCCTGATCCGCTCGCTCACCCGGGTTCTCTGCCTGTCTCCTCTCGGGAGAAGCTTTGCTCCAAGACGTACCGCTCAACCACGAGGTGTTTCGGGGGTGATTTGAAGCCGGTAAGGTCCCAGAAACAGCCGTAAAAGCGTAGAAACCCTGAGATTGACCGCAGAGAGGAGGCCGTTAGGGGCCCATCGTGTCTGAGCGGCCATTTTGAGGGGATTCCCTTCAGTCTCATTGACCTGACCTTTCCCCCCGGGGCCGATTATATTTGGGGGATTGGTGTACCAGATGGGGAAACCGGGGTCAACGGTCCAGGACACTGTCCATGACCTCCCTCGCTCCCTCTCTGATCCCCTCCCCTCCCTCCCTCCCTCTCTGACCTCCCTCCCCCACTCCCTCCCTCCCGCTCCGACCCCCTCACTCCCCCCCAATCCCCCACTAGGTCAGCGCCTCCGCTCGACTGGCACCCACCACCCTGCTGCTCGTCCCCCGCTCCCTCCACCCCCACCGTTGGAGGTTGCGCTTTCAGCCACTGCACCCTGAAACTCTGGAACACTCTCCCGCAATCCCTCTGCCTTGCCCCCTCCCTCTCTCTCCCTCAATCCCTCTGCCTTGCCCCCTCCCTCTCTCTCCCTCAATCCCTCTGCCTTGCCCCCTCCCTCTCTCTCCCTCAATCCCTCCATCTTGCTCCCTCTCTCTCCCTCAATCCCTCCATCTTGCTCCCTCTCTCTCCCTCAATCCCTCCGCCTTGCCCCCTCCCTCCCTCCCTCCCTCTTCCCCTCAATCCCTCCGCCTTGCGAGATCCCAACAAGACTCTACAGTCCAGACCCATCGACTCGGGACAGATTCACGGACCGCGTTTTAACACATTTCCTCAGACCGAGTGGCGTTGACTGAGCGTCGCTAATGCCTAGAGTTGGTTTGCGAGAACATCGATTTGGGTCCATTTCAGGCAAATCGACGATTCTCGACTTAAACGGGGAACCGATAATCCGTTTCCACGTCTGATTGACGCCAGACTACGGCACTACCTCACCCCTCACGCGGCTGAAACCCTGGTCCACGCCTTTGTCACCTCAAGGCTGGACTACGGGAACTCTCTCCTCGTCGGCCTTCCCGGCCCTCCCTCCACACTGCAGGTCATCCAGAACTCTGCAGCTCGTGTGCTGTCCCGCACCAGACACCGCGACCACATCACTCCCACCCTCGCTCGCCTCCACTGGCTCCCCATCCCCCAGAGGATTGATTTCAAGATCCTCATCCTCACCTACAAGGCCATTCACGGCCTCGCTCCCTCCTACCTCTCCAACCTACTATCCCCCTACCTACCTGCCCGTACCCTCCGTTCCTCTGGCTCCGGTCTGCTCCACGTCCCCCGCCCCAACCGCCCGACCATCGGTGGTCGGGCCTTCAGCCTCTCAGCCCCAGGCTCTGGAACTCCATCCCCAGTGCCTTCGCCGCTTCCTCCCTTTCCTCCTTCAAGGCCGGTCTCAAAACCTTTCTCTTTGACCTTCAGCCTTCTGCTCCCCTCTCGACTCTCTTCCCCCTCCTCACTCCCTCCCTTCCCTCCCCTCACCCTGACCATCCCCCTCCTCGCTCCTCCCTTCCCTCCCCTCACCCTGACCATTTCCCCCCTCCTCGCTCCCTCCCTTCCCTCCCCTCACCCTGACCATTTCCCCCCAATGCTCGGGTCATGACCCAACTGTGCAGCGCCTTGGGACGTCCTCCCGACGTGAAAGGCGCTTTATAAATGGAATCTTGTTGTTGTTGTTGTAAATATCACGTTCGCGAGCGACACTTTTGTCTGTGTATCCGACAAAGCCTTTGCCTTCTAATAAAAATAATAATCCTGGCATTTGACCCCCACACACCCACACACACACTCACAGACACACACACTCACAGACACACACATACACCGACACACGCACACCGACACACACACACACACACATAGACAGACAGACACACACATACACACCGACACACATCGACACACTCACACATACACAGACACACAACACTCACACATACACAGACACACTCACACAGACATACACTCACACACAGACACACACACACAGACACACACACACACAGACATGTACAGACACACACACACGTACACAAAGACACACATAGACACACACACACACACACAACCCGGTACAGGCAAAACACACAGTGTGGGCACTGCCCTCCTGCTCCATAGTTGGGCACAGTGAGAATTCAGAGGGTTTTCAGTCGATGGCTTTCTGTTGTCCACCTGTCCCACTGTTTGTACAGAAAGTCGGGAAACCGGGAATACTAACGGGAACCACGACACCTTCGACAAATAATATCAACAGCGACAACAACCAACATGGATTAACAAGGCCATTCCTCATCAAAGCCACTTTACTGTGTTGTTTATGTTGATGTTGTTGATGTTGTTGTTGAAGTTGTTGAGGTGGTTGTTGTTGTTGAGGTTGTTGTTGATGTTGAAGTTGTTGATGACGTTGTTGTTGATGTTGTTGATGCTGTTGTTGTTGACCTACTGCTGAGGAGCTGCGAAGTGGAGCCGTGTGATTTGCGGACAAAGAAAGGAACAGCAAAAAAAACGGGCGACCAAATGAACATTTTATTGGCAGTCCCAAGAAGATCCCGGCTTTAGCCGGTCACCACGAGACCAGTCACTACACCTCAGTCTCCGTCCCGAACAAAACGTGAACGACGACTAATTATTAACAAAAATTATTCATAATAATAATAATAAAGGTTAATACTTTTTCCTTCCATTTGATATAACGCATCGGAAGGTCCAACCAACAGTTGAATTGACCGATTAATTATTATTCTCATTAGTTTTACGGAAGGAATTGATTACCCGCGGAAAGCGATCGGCCGATCGACTACCGATCGACTAACTTATTATTATTATTAACGACCGGGTTCTCACTTACCGCCGGTCCGAAACTTTTAATAATAAACATTAATTGATGCAACGCTTCAACCTTCGCTCCGTTTGACGCAGAACCTGTTGCTATCTGGAGATTTCTGTCAGCGCAGTATTGATTGATTGATTGATTGATTGATTGATTGACTTCTTTATTTGGCCCAATAAATATACGATCAATTCACTTGGTAGCGTATCCCGTGAAGCGCTTTGAGACGTCTCGAAGACGTGATGAGGCGTTGGTTCAAACGCAATTCTTATGCTTATATTGTCTGGAGCTCAGTTTGGCGACAGAATGTGGGGATCGAGCCCCCTCTCGCCCCTCCCGCCCCCCATGACAGTCTCTCTCTCTCATACTCTCTGTGAGTGAGTGTCTGTCTGTCTGACTCACTCAATCACTCACTCACGGTGACGGGTTTCCGTGTGTGTCAGACACCCGGCCGGTCACGGGGACGGGTTTCCGTGTGTGTCAGACACCCGGCCGGTCACGGTGACGGGTTTCCGTGTGTGTCAGACACCCGGCTGGTCACGGTGACGGGTTTTCCGTGTGTGTCAGACACCCGGCTGGGAGAAGAGTTTGGAATAAATCATGCGATATCAAACCCTAAAGTTTTTGTTGTTGTGATGGTTGTCGTTTGCTGCTGTTGTTGTTGTATTTGAGTGTCAGCCGGACTGGGCTCTACACTTGAGCTCTGACTGACGAGTAGACAGAATAATCATCCGGACTGGATCTCCTGTGAGTTTTCGGCTTCAGGTTTGCTAAATTCAGATTGGCGTAGATTACATCGTCGTCCTGAAAACACAGCAACAGTCAGCACATCTACTGCCGTGCCTGTGTGTGTGTGTGTGTCTGTGTGTGAGTGCGCGTGTGTCTGTGTGTGTCTACGTCTGCATGTGTGTGTGTGTCTGTGCGTGTGTGTGTGTGTGAGCCAGGCTGACACACACACAGACACACACACACAGCCACCGAGTCAGACTGACACACACACAGCGACTGGGCCAGACTGACACACACACACACACACACACAGCGACTGAGTCAGACTGACACACACACACACACACACACAGCGACTGAGACAGACTGACACACACACACACACACACAGCCACTGAGCCAGACTGACATACACACACACACACACACAGCCACTGAGCCAGACTGACACACACACACCACACGCACAGTAACTTACACTGGTCACCGCTGGAGAGGGCTGTGGCCGAGGAAATCTGGTCACTGATGCGTCTGAAATAAACGCAAACGATATGTAATGACCTTCTCGACGAGAACAACATTAACAATAATAATAATAATATTAATAAACATTAAATACAATGAAATTACCCTCAGAAACACAATATTCGTGTTGGAATAATAATCCAGTTTGATGTCGGTGAGAGAGAGAGAGCGAGAGAGAGAGAGCGTCGAAGAGAGGGAGTGTGTGTGTCGGAGAGAGAGAATGTGTCAGTGAGAGAGAGAGAGTCAGTGTGACGGAGAGAGAGTGTGTGTCAGTGAGAGAGAGAATGTGTCAGTGAGAGAGAGTGTGTGTGACGGAGAGAGAGAACGTGTCAGTGAGAGAGCGCGAGTGTGACGGAGAGAGAGTGTGTGTGTCGGAGAGAGAGAATGTGTCAGTGAGTGAGAGAGTGTGTGACGGAGAGAGAGAATGTGTCGGAGAGAGAGAGTGTGTCAGTGAGAGAGAGAGAGAACGTGTCGGAGAGAGAGAGAGAGAGTGTGTGTCAGTGAGAGAGAGTGCGTCGGAGAGAGAGAGAGAAAGTGTGTGTGTGTCGGAGAGAGAGATTGTGTCAGGGAGAGAGAGAGAGAGAGTGTAGTGTAGTGTGTTGGTGACAGGCGTGTTGGTGACCAGGCGTGTTCGTGACACGTGTGTTGGTGACCTTTCTCTCTCGGCTCAGACACAGGAAACACGCAAGACTCACATGTTACGTTGCTGGTTTCCAGGTTGATTCCGGGCGACGCATCACTTAAACACAAACACAGAGCAAAGCCATGAATTTATACACACCATCAAGTCCTGTAGCTCAGGGGTTAGACCCCTCCCCTCGCACCCCACAGTCCCTGTAGCTCAGGGGTTAGACCCCTCGCCTCGCACCCACAGTCCCTGTAGCTCAGGGGTTAGACCCCTCCCCTCGCACCCCACAGCCCCTGTAGCTCAGGGGTTAGACCCCTCGCCTCGCACTCCACAGCCCCTGTAGCTCAGGGTTAGACCCCTCCCCTCGCACCCCACAGCCCCTGTAGCTCAGGGGTTAGACCCCTCGCCCCGCACCCCACAGCCCCTGTAGCTCAGGGGTTAGACCCCTCGCCCTCGCACCCCACAGCCCCTGTAGCTCAGGGGTTAGACCCCTCGCCCTCGCACCCCACAGCCCCTGTAGCTCAGGGGTTAGACCCCTCGCCTCGCAAGCCAGAGGACCCGGGTTTCCCGGGTAGAACAGGACAGGGCGAAACCTGAACCAAGTTTCCTTACTAATTATTATCACCGCTCTTAAATCTCCCCTCAACCTTCTCTGCTCTAATCCCAACCTCTCTCCCGTCCCTTCGCGGAACTGTGTGGGTCCCAGACATTTGGCTCGTCGCCGAATAAATACTCTCACCTGCTCGCCTTCCGTCTACGACACCTTCCTGCAAGAAAAAAAAAGGTGGGATCACTGTTCAAACATCCCTCAAGAACCCTTGTTATCGTCTGATTCTTTTTGTACGGTAATCTTTAGTTAGGGCGAGGGCTATCAGGTTAGAGAACGACACGCCGTTGCCTTGTGTTGTATGATTAACATTATATTACTGTGATATTAATAGAATTAATGAACCCGCGTGTACCTCTGCAGCATATGCAGATTCCCAGGATAACGGTAAACGTCACGATTCCAGCCAGAATTCCACCCACCAGCAAAACAACAGAAATCGTCCGCTCTGGAAGTGAATACAGGCCTCTGATCAATCGTCAATTTCGAGTTCAAATAGCGGCTAAAAAAACCTTACGACAACAACAAGAAGAAGATTCCATTCACGTCGGGAGGACGTCCCAAGGCGCTGGACAGTTGGGTCGGGACCCGAGCATTGGGGGGGAAATGGTCAGAGGGAAGGGAGGGAGCGAGGAGGGGGGAGATGGTCGGTGAGGGGAGGGAAGGGAGGGAGCGAGGAGGAGGGAAATGGTCAGGGTGAGGGAAGGGAGGGAGCGAGGAGGGGGTAGCCAGTCGAGAGGGGAGCTGAAGGCGCGGTCAAAGAGAAAGGTCTTGAGACCGGCCTTGAAGGAGGAAAGGGAGGAAGCGGCGAAGGCACTGGGGATGGAGTCCCAGAGCCTCGGGGCTGAGAGGCTGAAGGCCACCGATGGTAGGGCGGTTGGGGCGGGGGATGTGGAGCAGATCGGAGCCAGAGGAACGGAGGGTATGGGCAGGTAGGTAGGGGGATAGTAGGTCAGAGAGGTAGGAGGGAGCGAGGCCGTGAATGGCCGTGTAGGTGAGGATGAGGATCTTGAATTCGAACCTTAGGAAGGACTTGAGTAAGGACTTCAAGGCTTTGGAGTGGGTGCGAAGGAGATTGACCAGGAAGGTACCAGGAATGGGGGACCTCAGTTGTCAGGAGAGGCTATCGAGAAACTAGGATTATTCTCCTCGGAGCGGAGAAGGTTAAGAGGAGACTTAATAGAGGTTTTCAAAATGATGAGTTGTTGATTCGATAGGGTGGACCAGGAGAAATTATTTCCACGAGGGCTATGGGGAGAGAGTGGGGGAGTGGGGTTGATCAGGGCTATGGAGAGAGGGCGGGAGAGTGGGGTTGATCAGGGCTATGGGGAGAGAGTGGGGGAGTGGGGTTGATCAGGGCTATGGGGAGAGAGTGGGGGAGTGGGGTTGATCAGGGCTATGGGGAGAGGGCGGGAGAGTGGGGTTGATCAGGGCTATGGGGAGAGAGTGGGGGAATGGGGTTGATCAGGGCTATGGGGAGAGAGTGGGGGAATGGGGTTGATCAGGGCTATGGGGAGAGCGATTCCTACTTACTGCTCGTAAACAGAGTGTGTATGTGTGTGGAAATTTTTTGCCCTGATCTGCCCAGAAATCACACCCAGATCCTCTGGCTCGTGAGGCGAGGGGTCTAACCCCTGAGCTACAGGGGCTGTGGGGTGCGAGGGGAGGGGTCTAACCCCTGAGCTACAGGGGCTGTGGGGTGTGAGGCGAGGGGTCTAACCCCTGAGTTACAGGGGCTGTGGGGTGCGAGGCGAGGGGTCTAACCCCTGAGCTACAGGGACTGTGGGGTGCGAGGGAGGGGTCTAACCCCTGAGCTACAGGGGCTGTGGGGTGTGAGGTGAGGGGTCTAACCCCTGAGCTACAGGGCTGTGGCTCGCGAGGGGTCTAACCCCTGGCTACAGGGCTGTGGGGTGCGAGGGAAGGGGTCTAACCCCTGGCTACAGGGGAGTGGGGTGCGAGGGAAGGGTCTAACCTGAGCTACAGGGGCTGTGGGTTGCGAGGGGAGGGGTCTAACCCCTGAGCTACAGGGGCTGTGGCGTGCGAGGGGAGGGGTCTAACCCCTGAGCTACAGGGGCTGTGGCTCGCGAGGCGAGGGGTCTAACCCCTGGGCTACAGGGACTCCACATTCCGCGAAAAGCTTTCAGTGTTAGATATCACATCTTCGTGAGATTTTATCCCTTACCCGTTGAGTTCACTCGCTCGCTCTCTGGTGATACAAACACTCGTCCCTCAATGGTTATGTTATATCGACACGAGTAATCTCCTGCCCCGATCTCCGAGGGGGTAAATGTCGTTGTGTTGCTATTCCCCGGAGCTGTTTGCGATGTGATAAACTCTCCGTCTCTGTATAAAGAGAATTCGCTGCCGGGATAATTCCCGGAACACGAGAGCGCTCTCTCTCTCAGCGCTTTCCCCTCTCTCACCGACACCCGGGAACGCGGCTTCAGGGAAACGGTGGGTTTCCGGAGTGAATCTGGGAAGAAAAACACAGCGAAATAACCTCACCAACACTCTGACAGCGAATATCAGCCCCAAATTCCACCCGGTCTCGGCCTGTGGGACAGCAACAACAACTTGTATTGCTGTATGTTATACTTCGGGTCAGGAGGATGTCCCGAGGAGCTGAACTGGCCCCCAGGTGACATATTATGACCCCAAGGTGACATGTGACGGTCTCTCACTCTCTCACTCTCTCTCACACTCTCTGTGACAGTCTCTCTCTCTCTCTCACTCTCTCTCTCACCCCCTGTGACGGTCTCTCTCTCTCTCTCACACTCACTCCCCCCCCCTCTCACACCCTCTGTGACGGTCTCTTGTCCTGGTTCCTGAGCCAGGAGCGTCCACAGTATTCCAGGGCACTCTCTGCTGATGTCCTCTCCCACTCCATCAGATCATCCAGAACTAACTCTGCAGCCCA